TTACGCAAACATAGTTACCGAGGACAGCTGTACTCCAAGTGCTGGCACAACGCTTGTATGTACCAGGTCCCCTGCCTTGGGCTTCTGTAGGAAACGTAATCTTGCAGGGTGGCCATGCCCAAGAGGAAGTCTGCTTCTGCGGGGATGCAGTCAAGTTGAAATCTTGCATCTGTTTCTACAGAAGAATCTTGCTCTCCAGAATCTGTTTCAATGGTCACGCCTTTCTGGCAAGCGTCACCTTGGCAGGCCTGAACAAAAAAGACTTTTGGTTTTCCAGCAAGTGAGCAGCAATTCTGTCCAGTGAAAGCTGTGGTCAGTTCCTGGATAGGTACTTCCTGCCCATCAACACCATATATAATGCCTTTTTTCCCATGAGATAGGATACAGCAAACAAAACAGTCTTTGTCTGTGTGGTCTTCACAGCGGTAGATGTTCACAGTCTTACGGATTTCCTCTGCAGTGAGGTCTCTATATTCTGCTATTGTAAAATGAAGCTTGCTAAAGATTCTTCTCAGAGCAGCTGGAAAGTAAACAGAAGGGGAATTGGAGCCGTTTCATTATATTAAAGTTGGACTCTGCTACTGCAAATTGCATTTCTAGAGATAATCTTTTTTTTAAATCCTGCTCCACTACTCTCCAGGTACACTCCTGCTCTGAAAATAATCTGGTAGTCTAATCACTAATCGCATGTCTACTGAGTTAACTCTCATTAAAAGGCTTCCTTGCAATCTTCCTGTTTAGTATTGCCTCCTTCTGAAAAGCATGCAGAACTATTACGAACGCTGTATCTCTTTCCCCACCCACTTTTCAGCTAGTCCTTTCATCTCTCAAAAGGTGCTCAACAGGGTGGTTGCTTTACCCAAGATGGGAGGGCACTACCCGTTTGGGCAGTACCTGTGTCACAGGAAGAGACACCTTGCACCCTGACTCTTGAATGAAGACGGCGTTCAATCCAATCAGAGGCAGCCACTGACAGATTTTATCTCTAGGTGTAGATAGTGCAAATACATCCACCTCACAGACCCGAGGACTTGCAATGAGCTATGCTGCTGCTGCAGGACAGCCTGCTAAAATCAGGGCCCCTGAATAGGAAGGTAATTGAGTCCCTAAATTCCAAAATATCCCTTCCCTTTTTTTATATTTTAAGTTGGATGTTAAACAACTAACATCCAACTTAAAGCCAATTCTGGTGCAGCAGCAAATCTGGTTCTGATTCTGTGTATTTTAGAAGTCGTATGTGCAAGGCTGAGACAAAGCCAGCAGAGCTGCAAGGCCCAGGCTGAGGTTGCTGCTTAAGGTTGCAGTAAACTCAGTAAAACAGCAAACAGCTAGTGAATTGTTCTGAATGAGCCAGTAAAAGCTTGATGAGCTGATTAGGGTTTGTCAACACAGGAAACAGCCGACTCAGCCACTACAACAAAAGTATCCTAGAAAAGGAGGACTGAAATTCAGACCTTCAGTACAGAAAAAGAAACAAGGTTTCTGTTTTTGAAGACACGCAAACTCAGTTTTAATGTTCACTGTACCTGCATCCACGTCTGTCCCATTCCTATCCTTCATCTTTTTGGGTTCTGGCACTGCTTCCCTGGCTTTTGCAAAATTGTGATTATTCAGGATCAGGCATACTCCACGGGGCTGGCTAGTCATTTTGTAAGCTTCAAGCTGTTGAAAAGAAAGACTATTGGTGAAATTACTCCACTCTCCTCCAGGTGCTTCTCAACCCTTGCTAGTGGCACAGCAAGGTGAAGAGCCAGCCGGCTTTCCCTCTAGGCAGCTCTCCCTACACAGCTTTGCTCCCAGGACCTGGCACTGCATGGCCCCACCACCTTTGGGAGTCTGCGCAGAGCAAGACAGCAGCCCCCCAGAACGACATCATCATGCTCAGCCCACATGGGCTGCTGTGTTCACCCACTTGACATCCAGCCACCTGCCAACACCTCTTTCCCGGTATAATGAACCCGGCCTATCTTGCTACCCTCGCAAATCTTTCCCAAGTTTTAACACTGTCACAACTGCTGGCTGTGACTCAGCTTCAGAATTAAGGACGTTACAGAGTGGGGCATTTTTGTTTTCCTAGACAGTGCTTTTAACGGTTGGGCTCATAATAACTGTTCACCTCGAGGAGGGACAACCTATTCTAAGACAAAATTATGATATTTCTACGAAACAAACCAACTTACCTGGGAAGATTCATGCCAACTGCCAGGAGAATCATGTGCCACAGATGACGCTGGCCACCTGGCATGGGCTGAATGCAGACAAAAGAAGTTTAAGTACAGAAAGTAGCCCTAGAGAAAGGAGAAAAGCTCTGCTTCGACGTCTTCACAAGTACCTCCTGGGAAAAAACTGCTCTCTGGAAACACTGAATTGTGGTTGTATGGCTGTTCCTGTCAGCTATAAGCTACTAGATAATCAATTAAATGGGAGTAAAATGTCTTGTGATCAGTTAGTAACTGGACACTTGATCACTTTTTAGAGAGGCAACTGTGTAGAGAAGTGAAATGTAAGTGGTGTAGAGGGTCCGAAAGTTGAAGAATAGCAAAAAATTTTTTGAGAGTTTCAATTACCTTCAGGGCCTCCTGTGCTGCCCCTCTGTTCCTCTGGGAAGAGCATCTCTTCTTCAACTGAAAAACATTAATTATTAGACCTGTATGATACCTAAGTGTCACTTCAAGAATAACTATGGAAAGAAGCCTTTTGGTTTGTTTTGGTTTGGTTTACCAAATAGGTTTATTTCATACTCTTCAATTTTCTTCAACAGGCTGACGTTAATTTCTGCACACAGACTCTTCAGGACACTTAGGTTGTCTTCTCCCAAAATCCCCTTCTTCTCCATCTCAATGAAAACGTCGAGCATTGTCTGGGTAATCAGAAAGGCAGTTTGCTCTTAGGGCACATCCATGCTGCCACCGAGAGGGAAGTTGCAGCATGTGCATGAGCACCTAAGCTTTAATGTACTGACAGAACACGCCACCCACAGGCAGTCCAGCTGACAGGTAGCTGAGCTGAGACCTCAGCTGAGTCAATTAAACCTACTTTAAAAAAAGCACAAGTACTGTAATTACAACCATCTTCTCAGAACATACTCATTTCCTTTCCACAGCTCAGAGATGCTGAGATCAAGTAAGATCTAATAGATCATACAGATCTAATGGTGATCATACAGGAATACATAACGTCATTTTTAATGACATTCATTTAAATGGCTTTCATTCATTCGACTTCCAGTGGCTACTTTGTGCACTTGACTGAAACACAAGAATCATTGCAATGACCATCTTGAGCAATGGCAAAAATGGGTATAACCATGCAAGTGTGGTGTAGAGACTGCTCTGAAGCAAAAGGGGACCCAAGGAACAGGAGCTCTTGCCAAACGAGTGGCAGAGCACAGTAGTCACCCCAAGGATTTACTAGAACAGCTATCACTAGATGGTCTCAGTCCCTCCTCTAAGAAAAGAGGGAAAGTGCTAATAAAGTTTGCATTAGACAGAACAGAGTACCCAGCAGCCAGAACTGCTGGCTGAGGTAGTGTAAGAGCAGCTGGATCTACAAGCTCTTGCGCCTCAGCCTTGGTAAGGATCCGCTGCTTAGACCTGTATTTTCTGAGTTTGGAAATAAACAGAACAGAAGCATAAAGTAATAGCCACAGCAGGCAATTTTCTGTGTTTGAGAATGGCTTAGGAAGCAGCCAAAAGAAAATCGATTGGGCAGGATAACTGAATGTGCTCATCAGTCTTCCACTGATCAAAGCCACTGAGTCCACTAAGCCCCATATGCTGCTTGGACATGAAGGCCTCTGTGCCCGGCGCAGGGCTGGCCCACACTTTCTGGGCTGTGACACTGCTGCAAAAGCTACATATAACACCAGCACAGGCAAGTCCCATACGCAGCGGAGAGCCTATAATCCGTTTCCAGCTGCATCCTTTTTCTTTATGGTGTTTTCATCATAAGAAGAGTGACACCCTAAGAAGAGTGACATTCGTTCCACTCAGAGTAACTCAAATGCCTCTACAGATTGTAGTAACTATTAAAAAAAAAAAAAAGAAGAAAAGATTCAAGAAATTCTTACTGTCTTAGCGTTTAGCCTGCATTTTGGTAATTCTTTCCCCAGAAGAAACTTGAAAGACTTCAGCTCATCTTCAGTGATATCTTCAGACAGCTGAAAGAGCAGGTATCTAGAAAGAGAAGTAGAGAACACTGTTGCATCGTATTCCCAAGCACGTCCCTTAGCAAAATTTAACATCGTACTGTTGAACTGCCCCCTTTGTGTGCCCTCCAGCACATAAATCGCTTCTTTTGCTTTTTCACTGGGGGGACGTTAAGTCCCAGGACAGTCTGAAGTCAAACAGTTTTCAGCTGCAATTAAAAAGATCTCGTTTTTCCTAAAATCAAAACCACGCTGAAACTTTCTGGAGTTGAGAACAAAGACTCACACTCTGTCACCTACGGCACCACGCAGCACCGGGGCAGGGAGGCCTTTGCGGGCTGTAAGTATTTCAGAAAGGTACGGCTTAGTTTTCTCCCTTTTACTGGGCAGAAATTTCAACTTTCCGTACGGCTTGTACCCGTTTTCTCTTGGAAGACGCTGCGTGCTCCCAGGCCTTAGCCTGGTGCTCAAGCCG